ACAGACTCTACAATACATTATATTATAGGATACAGTTTAGCTTAGATACCAGGGGTATAGATAGTATTAGATACAGACTCTACAATACATTATATTATAGGATACAGTTTAGCTTAGAAACCAGGGGTAGAGAGGTTATAGATACAGACTCTACAATACATTATATTATAGGATACAGTTCAGCTTAGATACCAGGGATAGAGAGGTTAATAGATACAGACTCTACAATACATTATATTATAGGATACAGTTTAGCTTAGATACCAGAGGTAGAGAGGTTAATAGATACAAACTCTAGATTGCATAGAGGGTCACTTAAAATTACGCTTACAGTCCGTTTAAGAACTCACAAAAGTGTTTCAAACATACAGATATACAGACAATAGACATAGACATTAGACATACCTGTAGGATGGCTTTTATAAAATATTGAACTATCTTAGGAAGGAAGAGCAGAGAAGGAGGTTTCTTCATGTGTTTAATCCTTATACTGGAGTTAGAGAGAAGCTGGACAGGAGGTGAACTTCCAGCATATCCAACCAGATCAACCTGTACAATATATACATTTAACAGATGTACATAAATATTATGTACAGGAGAACTTCTAGCATATCCAACCATATCAACCTGTACAATAAACAGTAAACAGATGTACATAAATATCATGGTACAGGAGGAGAACTACTTGGGTATCCTAACAGATCAACCTGTACAATGAACAGTGAACACATGTACATAAATATCATGTACAGGAGGAGAACTACTTGGGTATCCAAACAGATCAACCTGTAAAATAAACAGTAAACAGTGTACATAAATATAATGTACAGGAGAACTTCCAGCATATCCAACCAAATCAACCTGTAAAATACACAGTAATCAGTGTACATAAATATCATGTACAGGAGGTAAACAGGAGCATATCCGACCAGATCAACCTTACAGTAAACAGTATACAGTCTATAAATAACATGTACAGGAGGTGAACTTCCAGCATATCCAACCAGATCAAATTCAAATATTTTTTTTAAGTTTAAAAAACGAAAATTGGGTTTAAAAAAGTGATGACATCAAATAATGTTTTTTATACACTAAATTTTGTTGATCTAAATTTAATAATAAACATAAAACATACAGTGAGAATCAGAAAACTCGGGGATAGGAAGGCGACTTTTAGACTTTAGTTATGACTTTAAATATTCCAAAGAACATGAGGCACAGCAATTGTGCAGTGTGAACAGACCCATTTTACCTAATAAGTGATTTAATAATCTACTTGTAATGCTATTTGCTTTGTAACAACATCAAAAGCACTTCAGTATTTCTTTAATGTCGTCTTCCCACTTTACAGTTTTCGGGTCATCGCTGTAGTTCCAGTACCTGGAAACCTGCTTCCGCTAAAGAAAGAGCATGATAACACATCCGGGGAGATCTACCAATATCCCCCAGTACAACCACTCCCACCCGCATTTTTATAGAAAATATCTGAAACAATTAAACTGATTAAAATTTGAACTTCTTACGTTTTATTAGTTTTATCTATATTTAATTTATGAATAAAATTGTCTGAATCTAAATAAAATTTTCCTTCTCTAAATAATTTCTCTTCCGAGTTGTAGAAATCTTCTTCGTTGAAATCAGGGAAGAAGAATTGTATCTCCTATCATAGAAAACATTTCTAGGACGGATAATGCACGGACAGCCGTAGTACATTTGAATTTCCGAGCCGGGTCAACCTTTCCGGTACCAGATTGTACTGTATCGCCCGGATATTGGGTAAATAAAGCAGACACTCAATAGGACTAGCCGGTGCAACAAGATTGACGCGGGCAGACTTTTGGTTGAATTTACTTTTACTAAAGGGTTAGGGTGCGTGAACTCTTTTTTATGGAATAATGAATCAAAACGGAAAAAAGCAGGTTTTGAAAAATTATAATTTTAAGATTATGAATAAAGTTTTCAAATTATCATTTGGCTGGAAACCCCCATAAAAATCTTTACTTCTCCATAATAAAATAATTTTCGATATTTTTTAATGAATTTCATGAATTTAAATGTAAAAAAATTATTCCAATATGGTTGTGCCAGATCGTTATCATTAGTTTGAATTAATATAACTGATCCGAAAAATCTAAAAAAACGTAAAAGACTAATTATTTAAAATATGAGAAAAATTTCGAATTAAAAACATTTCCAGTATAAGAATTGTGGATTATTAACGGCTACTTCTCTTCTATGTTGTTTATGTTATGATCCCAAGGGACATTAAAATGTTTATTTCCCTGGCTGGCATTTTCTGTTGAATCTGATCCATGAGATGAATTCCTTGTATCAGTTAAACCAAACCTTCCTCGGATACTTTCAGGAGATGAATACCTGAAACAACAAAATATTATTATAATATAGCATCCAGCAACCGGTAACCCCCCCCCCGGGATTATTTTCAAAATAAAAAAATACATCATTTCTGTGACAAGTTTACAATGTCTTAGGTTTCAGGGGTTTTAATTTCAACATTTTTAAATCATAAAAATATTGTCTATATGATCAACTCATCCATTCATTCAAAACAAATTTAAAAACCGATAACTAAATCAAAAATATGAATAAAAATTAAAAATCACAAATAAAAAAAAAATTCTTTTTATATTTCTTCCACAACTACATACACAAAATCCAAAGATTTCAAGGAATAACTACTTTCAGCATTTTTCACAAAAATTTTTTTTGTGGGGGGGGGGAATGGGACTTAAAAATTGCAAACCTATTACAAATATTTGTCTACGATATTTCGTTCATTTACCCCAAAAGGAAAATCAAATTTTAAAACGGATACACAGTTTTTTATAAATATTAAAAATGAAAGTGGAGTAAGTTTTACACTGTTTGAAAATTTAAACATATGCCAAAGTATTTGTTGTTAAACTTTAAACTAAAAAATTAGTTTAACCTTGCTTGAAAACTCTTTGTAGGACCCATTAGCTCTCTCCACGCTTTTATTGCATTCTCTTTACCTAGAAGTAAAAATAGAGGCCGAATTCAAAGAATTTGAGCCGCGGTTTTAATTTAAGCCGCGGCTTAATTATGGTTGGTTTCACTTAAAATTGTATCAAATGTTTCAAGATTTAAGCCGGCGCTTAATTTAAACCGGGTTTTGGCGGATTTAAGCCGCGACTTATATTCTTAAATTTGGTCTTAGGACTTTTTATTCCTGAGACAGGGTTTTATATTTTTTTAAACACCATTGCTTTCTAAGCTACAGTCTTGTCTAACCAATAAACCAATTTAAATAAAAACAATATTTATTACAAAAAAATCATTTTTCATGAAATAATGCTACCTTTTTCTGTAATTATTTCTTTTGTAAATATTGAAAACAAAGTTTCTTTCAAAAACAAAAAATATGCAATATCTGATATAAAGGGTTGTATAGGACAAAAAAAACATTTTATACAAAACAAATCATTATTTGTGATTTAATGTTACCTTTATTTAGTAAATACAAAAAAAAGTTTCCTTCAAAAAAAGTTTTAAAATCTCAAATACCTAACGTAGTCGCACAGGGTTGAATAGGACAAAAACATTTATTACACAAAAAACATTATAAAATAATGTTCCTTTTTGTGTAAATAAACAAGAAGTATAAAGGTCTACTTGAAAAAACATTATAAAACAATGTTCCCTTTTCTCTAAATAAACAAGAAGTATAAAGGTCTACTTGAAAAAAACATTATAAAATAATGTTCCTTTTTGTGTAAATAAACAAGAAGTATAAAGTTCTACTTGAAAAGAAAAAATGTTTAAGCTGCAATACCTAATATACAGGGTTGTATAGGACCAGAAGACATAAATGTGACCAATCTGTTGAAGAAAAACTTATTTCTGAACAACTAAATATCTCAATTAGGACTACAATAAGTATGTAAGTAAGTAAGTAATTATTTATTTATGAAATATAATAAAAACTACAAAATTAAGTGTTTTAGGAGAAAATATTTAAAACCTCCAAAAAAAGAGAGGTTGTGGGAATATTTCCCTCCAATTCTAAAACAATGAAAAATAAATAAAAGGAAAAGACTAAAAAGGAAAGTTAGATATTTATTATTTACATTACATTTAATATAACTGGATGGTGGATTGTTAGTTTTTTTTTCGACGATGAACTAACAACTTTAAGAAATAAAAAGTATAGATTTATTTGTTCAATATTGAAAAAATAAAATAGGCTCAATGGGTTGTGAATAAGATATAGGTTCTACTGAAAACAGGCATTTTTAAGCATCTTTTTAATTCGCACCGATTTTTCGCATCGTTTTTGTTTGATTATATCTTTTACTCTTTTTAATCTTTTTAGTCTTTTCTTTGTAAAATCGTCTTTGCTTTCTTCAATTCTTTTGCAAACATTGGTTCTGCTGATAAAAATCTTCTATTAAATGCTATTTAAAATTCGAAATAAGCTTGATAGTTGAAAGCTAGAAAAAGTGTCGTTTATTTTTATACCATCTTTTAGGGAAATTGTAAGGAGGAAGCAGTCCAATTTTAATAGATTTTACTCTGGGAATATAAAAATCATTTTTGTTTCTAAGATTTGCTTTTTTGTTATTTTTTTAAAATGTGAAATCATTTTTAAAAGTTGGGGGTAATTGATCTCCTTTAAATTGGAAAAAAAATATTTTATAACATTAAAAATTCCTAATTTTCTGAAGGAGAGTATGTTCAAAGCCCAAAAAGCTTCCGCTGTGTACTATAATATAATAAGATTAATATATTAATAAGATTAGCATTAATACTGATAATTAAATCAATTAATGACGGCGTATGTAATGAGTATGAAGTATATATTTTTCGAGAATTTCAAAAAATGCTCTATTAGCCCTAAAATTAAAATTGTTTGAAACAATTATTTTAGAGAAGGCTAGGGTGTGATGTTGGATAGGAAAACATGTATGTCTGAATATTTACATTATTTAAACTTAAATTGCCATCTTTACTTAAAGGAAGTGGGAAAAAATAAAAGACGCACGTGAAAGACAGAGATAAAAATAATCTTGAATCTTCTCAGCTGACTAATTCAGAAAATCCATCTTTTCCCCTTTTCAAGATTTACAAATATTCAACGCCAGCAGAAACAGAAAAATGTTCAATTAAAATTGAATTGAATTGAATATTTATTTTTGATTTAAGATATTTGAAGAGTTATTCCTGTGTTCTTTATAAAACAGTTCTGCCCTCGCTCTGTCTAACTAAATCAACCAATTAACAAAATTGTTAAAGGCAGTGTTTCGGATCCGTATCATTTTGATGCGGATCCGGATCCGCATCAAATAAAGTATATAAAGTATTCACAGAATCAAAAGTTACCGCGGATCCGCATCCGTGATGATGGATCCGGATCCTGACTCTGATACGGATCCGGATCCGAGGTAACTTTTGATTCTGTGAATACTTTATATATTTGAAATTTGCGCCTTGTGAGCATTTGCCGCTGAGTAATCCTGAAGTTAAAAATGTCGTCAGTACTATTATATAAATGTAAACATTAAATTATTAAAGATAATTTTGAAAAATTTTCGTCATGTAAATAATACATTTATGAACCATTTTGATTTATTTATTCCATGGTTTTGGTTAATTTTTGGCGCTACCCGGATCCATATCAACGTTTCCTGATACGGATCCGAAACGCTGGTTAAAGGGGATATCCACGTAAACGTAAAATCAAGTAAATTAAATATGATTATCAATATGAAGAATATTTTCGTTTTTCTCTTACATTTAATTGCATAATTTATTTTTGACTTTCTATTTTTGAGTATCATTGCAGTGGTAAAAAATTGATCTTATACATTTTTATGTCTATATTGTTCTTCAAAGAATCACTTTATATTAATACAGTTGCAAGATTTAAAAAAAGGCCCCCACCCCTCCCTGCTGCAAAAAAAATTCATTTGTGAATTGGAAAGCAAACAAACAAAAAAGAATTGAATTATTCAACGGTGTCTAATTTTTTTAAAATTATTAGCAAATCCAGCAATTTCTAAAATTAAAATAATATTGGTTAATCCCTGAATTTGTGTACTTCTAACAATAATAAACTGGTTCTCCAGGATCTTTTCATGAACTAAAAATAAAAATAAATAATAACATAAAATTTAAAAAATGTTAAGAAGAACATTTGAGGAAAATATGTTTTGCAAAAAGTAGGGTTATTTATTTTAATACATTGTTTTTCACGTCAAAAGTAAAGAAGAAAGAATCAAATTTAAAATTAAACTTCTAATTATCATAATCAAAATTATTTTTCTCATTTTGTAATATAGTAAAGGTTTTTATGGAAAAATACCTAATTTAAGATTTTGTGGATGCTGGGTAAGGTCAGGTTTAAGAATAGCTAACGTTAATTCAAGTCTTCCTGTACAAAAGATCATAATTTTTTATTAAAAAAAATAAAATAAGAAAATGTTTATTTTAAATCAAACTCATATTAAAGATTGTCATTAAACTTGAACCCTAGAACTAGTTAGTTTCTTGTAAAATTAGCCAAATGTCTGTCATTTTATTAATCATTTATTACTTTTCAATGTGTTTTGAGGCATTCAATGTTAGATTTAAATACTTATTTCAATCATGATTTATGAATAATAATAAACCAACGCTTTTTTAAACAAGTTAAAATTAATTTTAACACAGCGCGGCTTTGGAATATTTCTAGGGAAGGGGGGGGAGCCCCATTTCCATTTATCCCTAACAGAAAATATTTTCTTGTCAACTAAACAAAATTGGATTTTTAAAATCTGTTTAAAAAGTTGAATTTAAGATTAAAGAAGCTAGAGGGTATCCCTAGTATCGTTTCAATTTTTTCCAGGGGGATGTCTCCCTTTCAAACCCCTTCCCCCCCCCCCCCAAACAATAATTAAACCAACAAAATTTTACTAAAACTAATTTTTTTATCGTGGCTCACATAATTTCATTTATGTGATAGTATTTGCCAAAAGAAATAATAAATTATGGCAAAATCCAATTTGCCCCTCTCCATAAGCTGCTTGTTAAAGGGCATGTAAGCGTAATTTCAAGTGAAAAGATGACAATGCCCGATTCACAACTGTACCCTTAAAGCTTTGTCCGATCAAGTATGAATTAAATATTTATGTTTATAATCTTGAAAACTGATTTTTTTCAAATGTGGTTTCTATTCACAAGTGACTAGTACATTTCTACTGCAGGGAAACATATAGTAATTATCATAAAACACTTATAAACCTAGAGAACGGCAATAAATTCCACATTTTTGTGAATCGGGCATTGCCTTTAATGTGGAGTGTCACCTAAATATTCGCAGTCCCTTAAATCATTATCATTTTTTAAATACTTTTCTTGTCTTCAATTAACGCCAAATCGGCTAAACCGACATTTTGAGTGAGAACTCTCATGACACCAGGGAAGGTTTATTGATGATCAAATTCGAAAAATTAGCCTCAAACAAAATTTGATTTTTATTCATTTTTTAAAAATCCACGAAAATTTTTATTTGTTTTTGTTTTGCAATGTATACAAAGAGAAAATGTTTAGTTAAAATAGTTATTTAATTGATTAGTCATTGGAAAGGATAATTTGCTAGATCTTCAATAACTCAATTATTCTTACGCCTACCCTGATGTATATATAGTGTCTGTTATGCAATATGCATGTTACTTATTGATAAATATTCATAATTTGTATCGGTGTAAATGATACATTTATTAACACAAGTGTTTTATTAACAAGCTGAATGATATTTTGTTTTTCTTAATAAAAATAGATTTTTTTGTATTAGATATTTTAATTTGTCAACCTAAAACAGTGACAAAGTATGGAATACATAAATTGACAAGTTACTAAGACTTTTATTTTATAGATTCCAGTTTTCTAGTGACACGAGTCGAAATAAGGGCATTCATTTATGAATAATTAAAACTCCTTAGCACAAACTTAAATTTATAAACGAGATTAATTAACTACGTAAAGTTCCAGCTCAGTTTAAAACCTGGAAAAGAAGAGTAAGCTCTTCGAAGTAGATTCATGTTCATGATTTTAGTTGTCGATCTGTTCATGTTCATGATTTTAATTGTAGATCTGTTCATGTTCAGGTTCGGTAACATTTTCATCTGAAAGTTTAATTAAAGAATAAGCCTGCAACACTGCCAACACGTTTATTAAAAACTAGATTACAAGGATAATTAGATGATAAAGATAATTTTAAGAAAATAAAAACACGGAAGCCGTCTCTTAATACTCTCCACACTCAAATTATAGAAAAACAATATATTTTCAAAAATGTTCAAAAGTTGTTTGATCCAATGAATGTATACTCAATAAGAAAAATTACACCTCTACGTTTATCAAACTAAATGTTGAGAGTAGACTAAATAAAATCTTGTTAGAATTCGAAAAATGTTTTTATTTATCGATAAATAAACACATGTTTACATTGCGTGGAAAACTGGTTTTAATCCGGCGGTACAACAGTACAGCTTAACAATATTCGAGGGTAATAATAAATTTGGAGGGACATAGAATCAAGGGGGAAATAAATTCAAACAGATACAACAAATATAAATCAAACTATCTACATTTATCTTAACTAATTAAAATCCCTTACTTAAAATAATAAAACATATTTTAGATAAAATTGGATTCAACTTTTCAGGAACAAAGAAGGATTGGTGACGTATTCGAGATTTTAGATGGACCGGAGAAGGATCTGAGATGGATCGGAGAAGGATCTGAGAAGGATCTGAGATGGATCTGAGATGGACCGGAGAAGTATCTGAAATGGATCTGATATGGACCGGAGAAGGATCTGAGATGGATCGGAGATGGATCTGAGATGGATCTGAGATGGATCTGAGATGGATCGGAGAAGGATCTGAAATGGATCTGAAATGGATCTGAGATGGACCGGAGAAGTATCTGAAATGGATCTGATATGGACCGGAGAAGGGATTGCGATGGATCGGGGAAGGAAGTTTTCTGGAAAGTGGTTAAACTGTTCTAAACCAGGGGTACAAACTTTTAATAAGATACAAAGATATATTTTTTTCAGGCAATTATTACATTGTAAAAGATCGTATTTGCAATCTTTGTAAATTAACCAGTAAACATTGCATTTCTTTAGATGCGGAGAGATACAAGTAATACGTAATGAAAAAAAAAGATTTATTTCTTCAAAATATAATTTAAGTTTCGCTTGACAAAATTTATTTTGTCCTAAAATTATGGGTTTAAATTGAAATTTAGCTGGCTCATAATTTTGGTGGATCCACGAAAAAAATGTTTAAAAAATTGAACGATAAGCTTTCGTTTCTATTTATTTGTTTTTTGTTTATTGTTTGTACCCTCACCTAATTTGATTAAATAAATAAATTTAACTGGTTACAGCTCTCTCAATACTGTAACAACATATTTACTAAAATAATTCGAATAAAAGTATATAACAGTTCGCTCCTAAATGTGAATGAAAAGGAACGACAGCAATAGTTTTTAAACGATCCAACCATTAATAAAAAAAAAGATTGCAACTTTTGTGTGGATATTGTTAACCTTGAATGCTTGATCTTGATACCCAATGTGGGCACATTTATCCCTATAATCTGCAGAATATCGAAACAGAATTTAATTAATCCGTAAGTCTGCATAAGATGGAGTTCCCGAGATTTAAAACACAAAAGTTGTGACTTATGGTCATATAAAAGATTCAACTAAAGTATTCTTTGAAAAAGGATAGAGTATTTTCATCTGTAAACGGGGCAAGTAGTATCATTCCTCGTTTAAAATTATTAGGAAAAAGGTCACTGCCTCCGAACCGGTTTAACATAGGGAAAAAATCAAGCAAATTAATTATTTTAAAGGAGAGCCATTTAAGATATTACTAACCATCCCTTCTGAACCAATTGTTAAAAATTTAAGTATATTTCCCACGAAAAAATTTAATATTCTGCAAAATTTCAATTTTATTTAAGTATTCCTGGAGTCACGTGGTTGGATTAAGCCGGGAGCTGAAGCTTCTTTCCCTTCAGAACCTAGACAAAAATATAGCTGTTAAGAGAGGAGAGAGGAGAGGGCTATGGAACATATATTTATAATATTCCAGACACTTCCCGTGGTTGTTGTTGATCTATGCACAATCCTATCTTCTTGTACGTTTTAAAATCACAGCACACAAAATTTCGCGGATTTTCAAAGTTCAAGAGAAAACAAAATCATGTTTTCTGCGGTTTGTGAGAATCTCGATCAAAGTTTGATCATATTCTGTTAACGTATATTCTGACGTTAATTGAAAAATAATAAAGCCCCCCAAAAAATAGAAAATAACCTATGTGTTCTACAAAAAACTAAGTTTAATGAACATATGAAGATTTAGAAAAATAATCCGAGCTGTCACTGTTTAATGAACATATGAAGATTTAGAAAAATAATCCGAGCTGTCACTTTGATAACTAAAAGAAAATGACTGAACAGTCGTGACATCACTTAAATTAAGATAAGAATCTACTGTCTTGAAATATATTATCTAATTAGCTTGATAAATACTAATAGAAAAGTAGGGTTTTTTTTCCGCGCAACAAAATAAGCATTTCAAATGTCCACAAAAATGCCCGTTATAACTAATAACTAAATAATCTTTCTCAAGTAATTTTTATTTGACATTCTATCGTATGGAGAAAGCTCATAAAGTAATAAAGATAAGGATACTTTCTAAGAATGAGATAGAAGGGGGAGAGATAAAATATGGAATAAAGGGAGAGACCGGCTAAACATGTTAGTTGAACTGAAGGTTGTTCTCTTTAGTTAAGTTTTGTTTGGCATTGATCACCTAAGAGCTTGTTTAATAGCAAGCTTGTGTCCAATTGACATTCAGAGCCGATAAGATTGTGCCCATTGGTTTGGCATTGATTACTGAAGAATGTGTGTCCTGGTTGACATTTGTAGCCGATGAGTTGTACCTGGACTGATACAGTTTTGGACGAAGTATGGCATTTAATCCATATATATATGAGTAAGACGCACGTGGAGGGAGCATATAAGATGTGAACACAAGAATAGCGTGTATGCACTGTGCAGGGGGGGAGGGGGGAGATGTATTAGTGCAGAAGNAAAATTCAGTAAATCTTGAAGAAATGACCTGGATCCAGTGCGGATCCAGGATTCGGATCCGCATCCGCATCAAAATTGAATGGATCCTAAGCACTGGTTGAGGATATATAGTCAGTTTTTAAAGGTTTGATTCTGATAATTCGTAGATGCTTCTCTGTATTAAAAATGCAAAAAAAAATTAATTTCCTCACTGTTTCCCCCTGGGGGGGGGGATATACAGTATACATTACAACCCTGATTTCCTGTAATTTGACCAACCTGTAAATCCAGTTCAGAATATAGAGTCCCCTGTAGGATCCGAGAGCAAAGAGATAATGGCTGGTGATAGACTCCGCCTCCCCCGTTTTACTGACCATGAAGAGCTGGGGCAGAATGGCAACACTCTCCAGGTAGATGGAGAAGGTCCAGAGGATCTCCATCACGGAGAACTCGTGGTTTAACACCAGGGCCAGGATAGCGCAGGGTCCGAGCAAAAACTCGATCCTAAAATTTTGGGATTTCAGTTCTGATTTTACAAGTCTGGACCCTCTCCAATATTAAAAAAGCCAAAGGTGAACATTTAGCTGGAAAACATTTTCCTCTGTAAATTCTTCAAAATAAGTTTTACTGTTTAAGCAAATTATATTTTAAAGCGTTACAAATCGCTGAGTTAGTGAAAATAATAAACCTTGAGAAAAAGTCTCCTCTGGTGAGAATAAAAATTGCCGGTAATTTCCTAATATCCTATCAATTTTGTACATGACCACTTATTTTTCAGCAAAGTTATTCTTATATATTTTTGGATTGGGTTAGGATAAGACAATAACACAATTTTTGGACCGAGCGCTGCGGCTAGGACAGGCTAGGGGGCCGAGCGCGTATTTATATTGTTTACATTACTCCAAAAACCTGCATTCACTTTATTTTACGGGAGTTCCTCTGATAATCCTTTGTAATAAGACATAAGAAAAATGTCACAGATATCTAAACATTTGATCACCTGAACGTGTCGTGATTTCCGTCGTAGGTCGCCTTGAACTTGACGTACATGAAGTAGACGGTGGCAGCCGCCGAACCGATAAAGAACACCTTCATCGCCGTGTTATACAACGAGATAAAGTTTGAGAACAAATCCAAGTATCTTGACACGAAAACGATCAAGAACAGGATCTGGGACTTTCCGGAGATCCCAGCACATGATCGAGTCTTCCAGATCTTGATCAGGAGCAAGATGATCGCCAGCAGATGGGAAAGATCTCCGGCTAATCGGAAAATATTCATTCTCAAGGTTTAGGTGTGACACCCCTCGACCTAAATCTGAAACGGGAAAAAAATAAACCATTTGTAAAAATTTAAGTCAGATTCAAATGATAATCAACGTTAAAAACATTTTTTAAATACGTTGTCACTTTTTTTATAAAGGAGGAAGAGCAGCGCAGAGCAGTGGAAAGAATGAAATGCCGCGGAATGAAGATGATACTGTGACGTGGCTCACCGGTCTTACGTGGAAAATGAAGTTTTCTATAAATGTCGTCTTCGTAGTTTCGAAATTCTTAAATTTTAAAAAAATTGTCAAGATACTTTCGCGAGGGAGGGAAGGCCAAGCGGCCATGAACCCTATGGAAAAGTCTCCGAAACCCTGCAGAAACAGTCTTCGAACCCTGTAAGAAGCACAAAATGTATTATTCAAGGAGTAATTGGATGATTTTTCCAGTTTTTTCAACATATGGCACATTCACCACAAAAGTATTACTGATAAATTCAATTTTGATCTTATTCACGGCCCCCTAGTTTATAGTATATTTTATAACAGTCAGAGTGTCAGTAAACATGGGAATTGAGAGACGACTTGAATATCGTCTTAGATTTCCGATTAATTGATAAATGACATAAAGTCCATACAAAAAAAGATTGAACTAAGAGCTTTCCAAAATGTGCTCTACCTTCTTTGTATCTTTTAAATTGAAGGAAATATTAGACATTCAAATTTTGAGGAAAGCTTTTAGTTTCTATCAATTCAGAACAATTTAAAAATGTATTTGGATCACATACTTTTAGTTTTTCTAAGCTGCAGCTGTAAAGTTGGTTCTTTCAGCTCATTTAATACTTATAGACCATTAAAATACTTGCATGCAGAATGAACTCTATAAATTGAAAGAATTTAAGGTGGATATTTTTTTGATAATTATCTCTTAAAAAATTGGTTATCGCGTATTAAAGACAATATTTAACAAAATTTTATCAAACTTTCCTGAAATTGAATAAAACATTATTACGTATGGAAACCCTAATTGGGTCTAAAAAAAAGTCGTCTAAAATTGTAGAGTTTGTTGCAGTCAAGGTTATAATGCAAGGAAAGTTAATTGCAGTTGCGTGTACTAGCTGCGTATATATTGAAACCAGTTCTCTCTGGACGGAATTTGTAAACAAGAATAGATGTATCATTGTTCGTTTAGTATCCGAGGAGGATAAAAGCATTGAATTCTTAAAATTTTGATTATTTACACAATAGTTTCCTATGACCTCCAAGAGTTCTACTTTTGTGACCCAAATACGTTAGAATATTGGAATTTTTAAACCAGGCTTAGAACATTCCCGTGGTTCCCCAATTGAGGGCAAATCTGTGGCAACTTTGAAGGGTTCATAAGTTAAATGATCTGACAAACCGATATTTCTACTTTATATATGAAGATATATACATGAAGTTTTTATGTTTCCCATCTATGGGACTTCATTGCAATGTTAACAGATTATATTCATCATGGAATATGGCTGTTAATTTATAGTAGTTTTTAATCTCGAGAAACATAGATGTTTTATTAAACCAATATCGGAAAACCTACACTTTACCGACCCAATTGTATTTGTATTTGTATATTTTTTCATACAGAGTGTCCCATATTATAAAGATTATCTCCAAATTTTAACGCCGAAATACGCACATAATGCTCGAAGAACCTAGTATTTTCTGCATACAAATTTTCAAATTAGCCTTATATAATTTTAAAAAATGATCTTCTTTTTAAATTTCTGAGTAGTCCCGAAAATTGCTATTTAGAGCTATACACGATCCAACATGATGTGGGACACCCGGTAGTTTACAGAACAGTCCCAAAATCCGATTGCTTTCCAATTCTTGTCAACACAGTCACAGTTTTTTATGACAACTTTAAACCAAAATATCTACAACATTGAACGTGATTAAAATTGTGATCCGAGTATTCTAGCAGAACCTTAACAGGAAAAAAATATTTGAACTTTTACGGAAATTTCTGATAAAATTTCATAAATACTTACTTTTTAAGGGACGAAGATTTGACTTTAATTCAGTTGTCCATGCATCATGATTCTTCTCTAAAGATAAATTACAATTTACTTTCCTAATGGACAACGATATACTCTCCGTTCTCTCTATTTACATCCAAGCATAAAGACTCGAGCGTTACATACTTTTTATTAAAAATGAAACCTACCGAGTTGGGGTTCTCTCTTCTTAGACTTGGTCTTAATTAAAAGTCGGATAATGAAAATTTCGTAAAAATTATCAAATTTTATCTTCTTTATTAGTCTCGGACAATTATCACATGAAAACTGAAAGATTGATGACGGTTTTTCTTTTTTTATTTGATTGTAAAATGTCGGGTTAGAATTTGGCTTCAAAATCTTATAAAACAGACAATTAATCCACTGTTTTCTGGTTACCACAGTATTTGAATAATTTAAAGAAAAAAAGATCAAAGGTTGGATATTTATTAAGAAAACTTATATGTACACAACAATAAATTCTGAGAGATGAACATAAAAGAGTACATACTCTGTACATGCATAGCGCAATGTAGTACACGTGCACACTGTTTGGTAGAAACCGAGGCGGGTATAATCTCAAGAACAAGGGTGCAGGGTGGGACATGTACTTTAAATCAAAATTGTACAGGGTTGGAATAACTGATAACTAGCTTTTGGCGACTACCCAACAATTATGTACCGTATACAACATCTAGAATGAACACATAGATGCCCTTCACCTTTTGTACAGCAAATGATGTACAATGTACACAGCATCATTTTTACATTAAGAAACCATGGTGTACTGTATGCACAATGTACAAATTTACTGTTATTGATATAATGCAGTACAGAACAGTACAGTACACCACTGTCGGAGGGAGAAGTATCAAACAAACCTAATTAATTTAATGGAGTTGTTGGGGCTTTATGCAATGAACGAAAAACATTGGATATTTTTTTAACATCCCCCTCCAGTTCACCGGACAAATGCAGTTAAGTGACAGAACTGTACAGTACTTCCGTACAGAACTGTACAACACTGCCGTACAGAACTGTAAAAAAAGTAACAGCAAGAACTGTAGTTCAATAATGAACTGGAGTACATTACTATAATACATACCTCAACCTGTCATGAACTGAAGTACATGGTCATAAAGCATTGCAGTACATATACATTTATAGCATAATGTACACTGTACCTAAGTGTACTGAAGGACAGATGTTTATATACACATTATGTTAACAGTTGTATTAATTCATAGTACTGAGATACAACTTAACAGTTAATTTACTGCAGATTAACAGAACAGTGACACTCATTGCACTATAGTACCCTCTTGAAATGAATGTACTGAACAATCACATTAATTGGTGTTGAGTACACTCAGTGTACTGCAGTACGAATTGAGTACTGTGTTAACTTCACAGTACAGTTACTAACAGTTCTATACGTACTGCAGTGCAAAGGCTACCAAGTGCTCAAGTGCCGCGTACGATCATACTTATTATTAACCAGACAACGATTATTTCAAACTAAGTTCATAATTATTTTCTGTACAGAGTGAAAGGGGTGTAATAGCTCTTCCAAGTAAATGAGGGGAAAACAAAATGTATTATGTTTACTCGAGTGAGCTCATACACTGAATGTATAGATTAATTCAAACTAAAAATAAATATAGTTTATAACTTGATACAGGAAGGGGGGGGGCAACAAATATACAGGCAACAGACGGTTTCTTTAAAATGTTATCATACTTAATAGCGCACACATATATTCAAATAAGTTAAGACAACTGTACATTAATCAGCTGTTAAGTGTTTACTGCAGGAACTAGTTTTAACTAAATAAGCAGCGATGTTTGAGCTGCCAGCTGTTCTAGTTGTTTACTACAGTTACTGTACTGCAGAATACAGAAAATAGAATTAGGAATGGCACCCACTGTAAATATTAAGTCTGATAAATGGCGGCTAAAGATGACTAGATAAGGAACACCGCTGGCAATCCTTAGTTAACGTAAGAACATCAATATTTCCAGCAGTTTTACAAACCCATAACGTTATATAACATTGATAAAAACATTTTAGGATAAAAATATGTAGCAAACCAAATTTTAAACACTAGCAATAAACTTCTTAAAATAGAAACATAAAATAGGTATTTCTTGAATATATTTTGTTAACAGGAGAAAGGTTCCCTCTCGTTGTTGAAGATGTATTAATGTCGTCTTCGTCTGGGTTTTTCAAAGGTAACTGTCGGGATATGTCTTCCTACAGACCGGAGACAGCGCTTAGAAATCATTAAATTCCTTCGCGCATTTTTCTGTGGAAGAAATCCGCAAAGCTTCCTCTTCGTAATCGTCAAAGTTAGACGTATCCCCTGGGCCCTTACACTTCGGAATAAAGGGGGCTTCAACCTAAACAAAATATTATTATTTTAAAAAATCCATCATGAATCTTGTCCAAATTATGGAAACGGATTTAGTTGGCTGGCACAAAAAACTGTGATTTCATATTTTAATTGCTAACCAACAAAATTATGTGTCCGTAAGAAATTTACATGATTTACATACATACATATATGACTATAAGATCACTATACCCTGAAAAAAGGACAGCACAGAAATTATTCCCAAATTTAGGACAAAAAAATAAAAAGATATAACATTTGGATTCCCAAGGACAATGGACAGCCAAATTTATTTAAACTAAATGGCAATTATTTTAACAGCGCTTATTAGAAAGCTATAGATGAAATAATTTCCCAATATTCTATAAGGAGTGAACACCATGCATCATCGGTTTTGCTGAATTAGTAAAAAGTCAAAGATGAATACAAGAAGAAGGTAGAAATGAGAGAACTGAGAAAAAATTTAAGAAAGTCTGGAAAGAGGTGTCTAAGGATGAATGATAATTCCACAATGTAAATTCAGAACTGCTAGATTCCTCAGCATTTTAACTCAATGTCCTCGTACGTAGATAAACAGGTCGGAATTTTGATTCCTGATATATGCGACAAGATGAAGAATATGGTTAACGCCTCACAGTCAAATCAACCTCAAACCTTCAAACCTCATGCCGATGCCACCCAAGGTAACACGGAGCTACGTCCAAATGAGCAAGGTCCAAGAAACATAAAAATGTAGATAAAACCAAAAGCTAGATACAGTGGAATTTTCAAAGACTGCTTGAAACTGTTGAGAAGAGCTGGAATCTTTTGGAAGGAGATGCATATCAATACAATCCGTTTAAAGGTAGTTATTTTCTGGTTGGAAAAAAACAGTTCCTGATAACATTCAAAACTATTCCTCACAAAACCCCGAATTAGTTAATCATAGATAAAGAAGGGCATTTTATGGACTTCCTTATTAGTTTGTAATAATTATATTCCAAGATAACACTCTCCCGACGACAATTTGAAACCCTGAATAACTACCAAGACAAAATCTAAACCCAGAGGAAAGCTCTTTTTGCAAAGTAAAACCTTCTCACATATCAAAAATTAAGTTTTTAATTATTGAAAATGAAAAAAGGACATGAGCAAAAAAATAAATGTACATTAAAAAGGTTCAAAGAGTCCCAATTCAAATGGAAAATCACATGAGAAGGGATTAGTGCAAGTTCAGAGCTGATAATTCACAAAAACGTCCCAGAACCAGTTTCTTCTCTTACTATGGGGATGTTCAGGGACCTAGAAGTCCTGGAACTCCTTGGTGTAAACGGAGTTGGGACTGATCTTGAAGATAGCATCATTCTCTTCGTACTCCTGGAACTGTGATGTGTCGCTAGGAGAACCTACCCTGGGTACTAAGGGGGCAGGAACCTAAAATCAACTTAAACTAAGCACAGTGCACATAGAAGTGCACATAAACAGTTAACAAAAAGTGTGCATAAAATGTGTAATTACCATGCTAAAAATAAAATTTCATGAACTGAAAATTAAGTTTATATCAAAGAACTAAAATTTTACCTTTTTCTGATAGACAGCAATCCACTCTGTCTGTGCAAACCACTTGTGGTTCTTGATGTCTGTAACTCCATTCTTGAGGTTACCATACCTCTTAGTTAGATCAACCTAGAGTAGAATATACAAACCTTGAGATTTTATCATACAAAATTAGAGAGAATAGAGGAGGGAACGTTGGGGCTGGAAGAAAGTTAGTTAAAGAAATAGTTTATGACTAGAAAGAAGGTTCTGGACTAGAAGGGTGGTTTATGACTAGAAAGGTGATGGACTAGAAGGGTGTCTTATGACTAGAAAGTTATAAGAATAGCGAGAAAAAAGGCATGGTAACTAGCATGGACCAGCAATTGACAACGGATAAGTTGGAAGACAAGAAAGATGTTACAAGTAAAGTGGAAGAACAGATTTATAACTAAATTATACCTGGAGAAGGTTCCGAAGAAGGTCTTTTAAGTCTGACGAGAAGTGTGAAGGAAAACGGACCTAAATTAATACTTGGTCAGTTTTAATTTTTTAACTATCCCATCGTGAGGAAACAGTTTTTTTCTAAATTGTAATATTTTTCAACCCACCGCACCGAGAAAACTTATTTTTATTTGTCCATTGATAACAAAACCAAGATATCTAATAGCTCAAGCATAAAGGATCTTGAATTTTGTTACCTTTCCAGAAACAATTTTTTCATAAATTTGAATCGGTTGATCTGCAAAGAATGGAGGATATCCAGCCGCCATTTCATACATGAGGACACCAAGAGCCCACCAGTCGACTGCCTTGTTATAACCCTAAACAAATATATGATAAAAATACAATACTAAGAACAATAGAACTTAATTAGTAAAACAAACAATACTTATGCTGTACAGCATACATATCTGTACAGTGTTTGTATGATTAAAAAAATATTTTGACAAAAATATTAAAATGGGTAAAATACGATTGCAATTTAAAATCTACAGGGGACTGATATTAAAATTCTGGAGTTAGATGAGTTTCGGTCTTTTAGATCCTTAATGATTTTTGTTATTTTTTGCTGCTGTGGGCCCTGCGGTCTTAAAAGCAGCAATTTGCCAAATGCAGCTCCATAAAAGGTTAGCACTAACTTTCCGGAGATGAAAAACAGCTTTAAAGTGCTGGATAGCATTGTGCAATTAAATTCTTAAATTTGTGGCACCAACCTTAAACCTCAGACAATCTTAAGAGCCAGTATGATTCCCTTAGACCCTTCCTTAAAATAGGCCCCTAACCTCTAGAAAAATCCCTGCAGCAACCACAAATTCCATCCAAAGCCAAAGGTTAGCATGCAAGAATCTACTGATTGACATGGTTGTCCACTACTTCACAGGATAAAGGAACACCACCATGGACAACTGCTGCACAAGTTGATGATTGCAAACCCATCATTTTTGTCTTAGGTCCTTTAATATGGCAACTGGATGGGTTGGCAAAAACGACACAAGACTATCATTGCCAAATTGATGAATTTTTTTTCTTTCTAACTGTTAAGTTTATATCTTCTTAAGTTAATAAATAAATTGAAAATGTAAAATCAAACAGTCTGTATCATGTAAAGAGAAAAAGAAAATCTGATTCACTAATAAATAAACATTCTAAAATATCAAACAGACCTCTTTAACTCGCTGCATAGCAAATGAGTATTATAAACATAGGAAAGCAGACGCTGAAATAAGCAACAATTTTTTGAAACGAAGCTAAAAATATAGTTTAACAAATTTATCAATTTGACATTGATCGACAAGCATCCTTGAAATTATGACCGTTTCTATGAGCTGGCCATAGGGGGGAGGTAATCCAGTATCAACAGTTTCCCAGTCTTCAATGTCAGCGGAGTCAATCTGCTCTTGTCGATCTTTCGCACGTGCTCGAACCCTTTCCCTTGGGTGCAGAGTAAACCATCATACCTTACAATATCCTCTGAACCTTTCTCAATTTCCCTTCCATATTTATCAAAAAGAATTTAGTAAGTTTGTTATAAATGGCTCAATCTAATAAACACTTGACAATAAATAAGTCATTAGGGCAATAAATATTTCATTTTTAGAAACATTTAGCAAAAATGGTTTCAATGGTTTCTGGAACAATTGACAGTAAAAAGTACAAATTAGTAGAATAATTCTTAATTTATGTAATAAAGCTCTTTAAAGCTAATTTATATATATATTGTATAGATATATTTATGTTAGCTAAGTTGGCCAAACGGCTGAACCAAATTGGCTCACATTTTTGGAGGGAACCCATGGGTAACCTGGGGTAACACAGGGTATTAAAATTAATTTTTTTCAAAAACATTTTTTTCTTCAAAATTGATTGGCAACGCCGGGCACTTCAGCTTGTAAATAACAATACCAAACTTAAATGCTTGCATACATATCATAATTCCTTCTAGTGAAACGGTGGCAAAAATAGCTGAATCTTCAAAATATTTTAAGTAAATAATGCAATCTTGTGAAGTGTTTGGGAGTTAATAAAATTTAGTCAATGAGCGCCTTGCAATCAAAAGTCCAATCTTTTGGCAACCAAAAAAATCCGTTTTCTGGAATTTTAGGCAAAGATCAGTCGCACTTAGAAAGCCTACTAGTGTAATTTAAGGCCAAAAAAACATCTGCAATGAAATGGATTGCTTAGAGTAGATTTTACTCTGTTATTAGAATAGAAAACTTGTAGAAATCTAAGGGAAAAAGTCCAAAGAAAGTGGCCATCTGGTGGAATATTTGAAAATATGTCCACTGCGCCCCCCTTGTGTAAAGGTTGGAGTGTAAGCTCAGCATCTCAGCGTCCCAAACCTTGCCAGGGACAGTGGTTTTAAGGCTGAAGCCCAAAGGAGTTTAGCGCATGCCGCGGTGAATTACCAGACAAAGAGAGTCTATTCTAGTCCCGGTGCTCGGCCCCCTTGCCTATCCAAACTGCGGCGTTCGGCCCCCTAGCCTGTCCTAGCCGCAGCGCTAGGACCAGAAAGTGTTTTAACCTAACCCTAAAATAAATCCAAATCTCTCTTCTAATTCAACGCGGCAAGCGCGCGAAACTCCTTTAGGCAACTGCCTGGTTTTAATATAATATTCATTTATTCACACAAACACATTTTCTTTAATTTTCAATAATTATCAGGTTGTAATCAATTAGTGTTAATTGCAATCATATTTTAGCCAAAAATAAAATATTTACAAATTATGTACAGCTGAATCTAAAACCGTTACGAGTTTTAACGGGACAAAGAGGAATACCTTGACAAATGCTAAATAAACTTAAAAGAAATATTAAAATTCATTTAGCCTGCATTGGACTTGTTAATTGCGTTGAAAACAAAATATTTTATTCCAAAGATTAAAACATTACAACATTTCTGAGAATAAGCATAAATTTAACTGCTACTCATCATGAATTGTGATGTAAAAACAGGCAACAAGACCAGATAGCAATTTTTGTTCTAACTGTTCTAACTACTGAGAAGTAGTTCGGAAAAATAAATCAATAAAAACCAGATAGACCCGTAGATTTAGTCCATAAGACAATATATAATGTATGAATTAAATAATTTCACAAATTTACAATGAAACCATAAATCTTGGAGAAAGATAACACTCATATTTGCTTGAGAATTATAACTTGTTAGAAATATGAATACTTCATAGTATTTCCCAGTAAAAATTGAAACAAACATTTAGGGGAAAAAGAATTTTTTTTAGTGGATCATCTTTTCATATAAAGATTAGGCTTAAAGGGATTGCTATCATAGATTAAATGTTTGTTTGATAAAAATATTTGTTGAAGGATGACCAATACCATACCTTCTCTCCCCACCCTCTTAGTTTAAAGGAATGCACTGTAAATCCCAGTTGACATTCATCAAATATAGAATTAATTAAACCCTAATTTCCAATCCCTTTGAATATAAAGAATTGTTTACCCCGAAATTATATTTTATTCTGACATCAATTTTCTAAAACTTCTTCAATAATTTTTTAAATAACCAATGAAGTGTTGATTAATAGTATAACGCCATTTTTTCATAAATTGTTGTGATCTTTAATAATTGATCCTTCAAGGGTATATCTTCTTAAAACCCTTAATAAAAATGATAAAATTTTAAATTTGAAAATGGGTTAGCTAATTAATTTTAAAAATGAGTTACTTACTTTGCTAAGAATAATCTCTGGAGCAAGATACTCAGGAGTTCCACACAGAGTCCAGGTTCTACCCTTCACACGTTTAGCAAAACCGAAATCCGTGATCTAGAAATATCCTATATACTAACTTTAGACAAACCCAGACCAAATACAACAACCCCTGAACCTCGTGAACTATATTGAGGTACCCCTGTACCACATATATTACCTTGAGGTACCCCACAACCAAGTATATTACCTTAAGGTACCCCTGAACCAAGTATATTATCTTGAGGTACCCCTGAACCAAGTATATTACCTTGAGGTACCCCTGAACCAAGTATATTACCTTGAGGTACCCCTGAACCAAGTATATTACCTTAAGGTACCTCTGAACCAAGTATATTTCCTTGAGGTACCCCTGAACCAAGTATATTTCCTTAAGGTACCCCTGAACCAAGTATATTTCCTTGAGGTACCCCGGAACCAAGTATATTACCTTGAGGTACCCCTGAACCAAGTATATTACCTTGAGGTACCCCTGAACCAAGTATATTTCCTTGAGGTACCCCTGAACCAAGTATACTACATTGAGGTACCCCTGAACCAAGTATATTTCCTTGAGGTATCCCTGTACCACATATATTACTTTGAGGTACCCCTGAAACAGTATATTACCTTGAGGCACCCCTGAACCAAGTATATTTCCTTGAGGTACCCCTGAACCAAGTATAGTACCTTGAGGTACCCCTGAACCAAGTATATTACCTTGAGGTACCCCTGTACCAAGTATATTACCTTGAGGTACCCCTGAACCAAGTTTATTACCTTGAGGTACCCCTGAACCAAGTATATTTCCTTGAGGTACCCCTGTACCAAGTATATTACCTTGAGGTACCCCTGAACCAAGTATATTACCTTGAGGTACCCCTGAACCAAGTATATTTCCTTGAGGTACCCCTGTACCAAATATATTGCCTTGAGGTACCACTGAACCAAGTTTACTACATTGAGGTACCCCTGAACCAAGTATATTAACTTGAGGTACCCCTGAACCAAGTATGTTACCTTGAGGTACCCCTGATTATCCAGTAGAAGGTTCTCTGGTTTGAGATCTCTGTAGATAAGGTCCAGGTAGTGAAGATACTCGAAGGCGAGCACAATCTGTGCTGCGTAAAATCTACTGTGTGCCTCACTTAACAAAAGATTAAATTAATTTTGGCTTTAAACTAAAAAACTTTTTTTAATCACGAACAGTTGAATAAGGCTTTCTCAATACTCGATATTCAATACAATAAAAGAAAAAAAAACTATGAGGGAGGCTTTATTCATAAAAATGAGATTCCGTACCCTCTCCTGAGATTAAATTAAAAGAATTTGAGCCGCGGTTTAAATCTGCCAAAACCCAGTTTAGGTTAAGCACATTGAAAATATTGATAAAATTTTAAGTGGAACCAACCATATTTAAGCCGCGGCTTAAATTTAAACCGCCGCTCAAATTCTTTAAATTCTGCCACTGTTTGATTAAATGAAATTTTTTCTTCTGAAATACTACAAATAATGAACTTTCCCCGCATGAAACGGAGTTCTGACATATTCTTTGAATAAAAACAGTCTTAAGCTCCATGCATGATAAATGATTATCTATAAAGCATGGTGTCGTGACTGCAAAATGCAGAATGTATCAATAATAGTTGGAAGATATTATACAAAGTATAATATCGAAAATGTGCTTTTTTCAAGGTTTTAAATTCAACGAGAGATAAATTCATTTCAGCAAATTATTGAAAAGTGTGGGGGGGGGGAAGCAGATGAACAAGTATTACATAAAATGATTGACCATTAACAGAAAAGGAATTAAGGTCTCAAATATTTAATTTTTATTAGTCTAAGTCAAAATCAACATATGCAATACAAAAGCTTGGATTTATGCCTACAAAATAAAAGAAATATTTACAAAAATAAAATAAAATTTTCTAGTTTTTATCTATTTAGGATACCTGTTAGCCTAGTGGTATGTACAACTATACCTATTAGCCTAGTGGTATGTACAACTCTATCTGTTTGCCAAGTGGTATGTACAACTATACCTGTTAGCCTAGTGGTATGTACAACTATACCTGTTAGCCTAGTGGCATGTACACCTATACCTGTTAGCGTAGCGGTATGTACAACTATACCTGTTAGCCAAGTGGTATGTACAACTATACCTGTTAGCCAGTGGCATGTACACCTATACCTGTTAGCGTAGGGGTATATACAACTATACCTGTTAGCCAAGTGGTATGTACAACTATACCTGTTAGCCTAGTGGTATGTACAATTACGTAATTGTGGAATTTTACCTTTTTCACGTAAGTTTCTATAGGAATTTTTTATTCGTAAATCTAGTTTTTTACAAAAAAACATGAGAAAAGAGTGTGATGTCTTGGCTTTCCATGCATAGTTGATATGAAAACTTAACGATGATTATCCCAAATTATTAAATAAACTAAAACAGACAGACCACATTTTGGAAATCTCAGAATCCAGGATCTCCTTGTTGAGCATATTCCTGACTGAAAAAATTTCGAACGATTTAAAAGTCACAGCTTATTTCCCTTGTTTATTGAAACATCCTGTACTTTACCTGCTACGGCCGATTTCTGTACCTAAATCGTCCAAAACCCTACCTGAATCGTCCAATTTTTCTTAAATGTGAAAACATTTCTCCGCCGGGGACATATTCAAGGATCATGTAGAGATTACTGTTGTCCTGAAACAAACGGCATGCGATCTATCTAGAGCTACACAGATACAGGGACAGATGGATAACAGCTGACCTTATATTAATCTGTCATCAAAAAAACAATCAATATGACAAATAATTACTAAAAGTTTATTTACAAAGTTTACAAAAAAAGTTTTAAATACTTTAAAACATAAAAAGAGATAATTTGAATGGAATCTTTATTTTTCTGTTTTATTTAAACCCATCTCTTATGAATGTAAAGTTGGCTGCTATCCTACTGTCCAAAGTTGACCAATAAGAATTTAAAGTATTATTTGTTTATTCTTATTGACCAACAGAAGGTTTGTTTTATGTACATTTACACCTAGGAGTTCTACCTAGGGGATTACTAGTCTACTAGCGCACTCTGTACATAGAGCAGTACAGTACATGTACCTAAACTTTCCCAGCCTTCGGAGGTGGGAGAACATTTCTCCGCCTGGGACAAACTCAAGAACCATGTAAAGATTACTTGTATCCTAAATATATATTGACCCCTACACACATTGGATCGATGAAATAGGTTTAAATCTTGTCTGAGCCTAAGAGCCTCAGTTTTTTGAAAAAGTACATCATTAATTGAACCCGATTTTTTAAACTTTCAAATTTTGAAAAATATTTTCTATAGTTTTTGGTTATTTATCATGAAACGTCTTACTGTAAAATTGCATTTTAACCGTTAAAATGCGATAAAAATATCATGAGAAGTGATGTCGTAAATTTTAGTGAACACACTTACCATTAACCTGAAGTAATATTTAGAATGAAACCTGATAACACACAAATACACATTTATACCCTTACATAAATTCATATCTTAATTAAGCAGTGCCTAGAAGGTACAAACTCACGCCAAAAATCCGGATCTGGAAAATGGAACAAAAATGCACTCTGTTTTGACAAAATGGAATGAGAAATTTCAATAAAAAGTTTGGTCAAACGAAAATTTAATATTTTTAGACAAATTTATTTTTCTGGAATGGGTCCTGAAAAACGAGTTATTAAAAAATATGTTTTAAATAACCTAGGAGACCTTTTTCAATAACAACCACATTATAAAAATGTTATATAATATACAATAATATATAATCAAACTTAAATCATAGACGCAAAATATATCTTAAATAAATTAATATATCTATATCATGAATCAATTAATCAATAGTCTGTGATTAAAAGCAATGTTTGGTTGAAAACTACGTGTTGTTCTAGTTTACCTTGAAATGGAACTCTAGACTAACAAGGAAGGGGAAGGTGATGGCCTGTAGGATCTTCTTCTCATTCAGGGTGTGCTCAACCTGCTTCAGCTTCACCACCTTAATAGATCAATCCAATCAAATTTGATCAAATCAAATTCGATCAAATCAAATTCGATCAAATCAAATTCGTCCAATCCAATTCAGTAATCAGTTCCATCATTTAATTAATTGGTTAAGCTATAAATCAATAAATTAATTGACCAAACTGTCCCTTCAATCAATTGATCAAGCTTTCCAATCAATCAACCTCTTTGAATTAATTAACATATTAGTCAAACAATAACGGAAACTTTTCTTTTCAAGATTTTTTAAATTCAGTAAAAAACTCAGTTAAGGTTATTTTTCTATTAAAGGGACTGTTAGCGTAATATCACGTGACCCTCCATGCAAGGATGGCAATGTCCGATTCACAATGGTTCCTTTAAAAGCTTTGTCTGATGAAGTATAAATATGAGATATGAATTTTTATAATTTTAAAAACTGTCTATTTTTAATTGTTGTTTCTCTACATAAGTGACTTGCACATTTCTAATGTAGGAAAACATATAGGAATTATCAGATATAAACGCTTTCAAATCTCGAGAAAATACATCATATTCTATATTATTGACCAGATTAAGGTTTCAAATGAACCATTTTGAATTGGGCATTGCCATCTTTGCATGGAGGGTCACTTGAAATTACGTTTACCGTCCCTTTAAGACGATTCCCGTTACAGACTGATTTTCTTTATAAAACTGATTTTCTTTATAGACTGAGTTTCTTTTCAGACTGATTTTCTTATAAGACTGATTTTCTTTAAAGACTGATTTTGTTTATAGACTTATTTTCTTTATAGACTAATTTTCTTTAGACTGATTTTCTGTAAAGACTTGATTTTCTTTAACTTATAATTACCTTCTGTTTGTCCAAAATTTTCATTGCATAGTGTGTTTTGTTTGCCTTGTGCTGAACAAGCATAACCCGTCCAAAGCTGCCAGTGCCAAGGGTCTTTAACCTCTCGAAGTCATCAAGAGAAGCAGTGTTCTACACAAATACAACAATATTAGACAAATCTACAAAATGATTATCACACCCTCTTTTCTTAATTTCTCAGAACAGTATAAAACATCAAAATATATCTACAAAAGAAGTTACTCCCACCCCTTAATCTCACAAAATCATCTAGCAACCCCATATTTTCTTAAAATTAGGCAAAATCTAATAAAATAGCCCCCCCACAACATTCTTTAAACGAACTACTATTAATTAGGAAAGATATCATTAGGAGAATTCCACAGGCATTAGGAAAAATTCCATTTGAGTAATTTCTCCTCTTCTACAAGATTAATTAATTATTCCTTAAATGAATCATCATGTTATATCATCATGTTATATCATCATGTTATATCATCATGTTATATCATCATGTTATATCATCATGTTATATCATCATGTTATATCATCATGTTATATGCACCCCTAATTCCCTTAATTTATTTTTTTCTCATTCAGAACCCGTCAAAAAAAGTCCTAAAAATATTTTTTGGTTGCACATTTTTACATAATCTGTTTGTTATGCAATATGCGTTAATCTAAAATTAAAAGTTAAAAACACATAAAACAGACAGCGAGAATCAGAAAACTCAGGGATATGAAGACGACCTTTAGACTCAAGTGGTGACTTTAAATAGTCTAATAAACATGAGACACATCCATTGTGCAGTGTCCACAGGCCCATTTCACTTCATAAGTGAAATATGATTTGCTTTGTAACAACATCAAATACACTTCAATATATTGCTTTAATATCGGCTTCATATTCCACAGTTTTTTAGTCCTCACTGTATGTTCTTTGTTTCTTTGTCAAATCTTGCCGTTCATCATAATAAATAAAATCAATCATGCAACAAGAACTTCTTATCAAAGATAAATCCGAACATATCAAATTCAAAAAACATGATTAAAGTAATTTATCAAAATGGAAAAAATTTAGATTATAAATGTTAATATTCACTCCTTATAGCTTTGCTACTGTGAAATTGTACGAAAAATATCTTTGAGTCCTAAGATATACATAAACATCAGAAATAGTAATCGTTAAGTTGATAAATTATATTAAAAAAAACGTGTGACGTAATTTTTTTTATAAATCATCAAGTAGAAATAAATTTAACTCTGAAAATTATGTATTAATAAGAATTGTGAGAGCTTTGTCAAGAAATTATTATGTTTCTATTTACTTTTTTTATATACCAAGTGCCCTAGTTTTAGTATTTCTGCAAGGAATTGGCATAAAAAGTAACTTTCTGTAAAACTTTTCTCCCCAAAGTGAATTGCAATTTTGCGCAAATCTTGATATTTAATCTTTTTCGCAAAATTTTTGCAATCTCATCCGAACAGCAAATGTACTTTGCAGTGTCTGCACAAATAATATATGGTATGACAAAAAAGAAAATGCAAAATTAGCACCTAACGTCTACGAATTCATTGTCATTGGTCATTGCGCATTTATTGTCCCTGCATTGTTATGAACTTAACATTTTTTCCAACTATAAATTGTAAATTTTACTGCTCTCAAGACCATTTCAAAATAAAAATGATAAGCAATTTTTCCAGCCAAATGTGCAAAAAACCTAATTTTGCAAAATACTATTTTGTTTTAAGGCTGTTTATTTTATTTCGCGACTGAAAAATTTAGACATGTCAGGACTGCATCAAAATCAAATAAACCGGCAAGATTTCAAATGAATGGAAAAGGAATATTAGAAAGCTTGGAAAAAACACTTTAAAAAAGAGTAAGACAGAGTAAACGGGCAAGATCAGGAAAACAGAAAACGATCGGAGAAACAGACATTAAAAAAGAACATGACATTTTTATGAGCAGGAAAAAATCTGGAAAAGAACATGATCAAAGAAACATTTAACAGTGAAACAGAAAAGGATAGTTAACAGAGACGATTGAAAAATTCCGAAATTAAAAAAAAACAGAGTACAGACAGACTCTGGGTAAAGGGGAACTTTCAGAAGAGGAGAAAATTGTGAAATTCAAGAAACAGTTTAAAATCTTTCAAAGATCAGACGTCGTATGAAGATGAATCGACATCTGTGTAAGGATAAAAATATGTCCTAAATATCATCATCTTACAAGAAAATAATTAATAACTAAATATATAATCCTATGCATGCATACCTGCCCCTATTTCGTAAATCTGTAATTAAAAAAATGACATTTTCACATTTCTTTGTCACAAAAAAAATAGAAAAAAATCGCTGCGCAGGACTTTAAACCAACACCCATTACGTTTTTACACGAACTAATAAATTCGTCTGTCAAAGGTCTTAGGTAATAATTCAAAATAAAACAAACAAACTTCAATCTCACACAATTAATTAATTCTAAAATCTTTTTAAAAAACGGAAAAGGAAAGAAATGTCGGTCTAGGAAAGCTGTATTGAGATAAAGCAAGGGTTGAAATCTTGTAAAAGATTGTGTTGAGAACCTATGAATATTTTCGTAACTTACTTTCTGATTTTTCGCCCACTTTTCTTCAAAATCTTTCCTAGCCTTGTCTAGAAAGTCTTGAACTGAAAAAAAAGAAAAGAAAAACTATTAATGAAAACACGTTACTTACGTGTTTGGGGTTGTTCCATTTTTCTTCAAACTCGGCTTTACATTTATCCAAAAACTCCTTGACTGCATGTGGAAAATATATTTGATTAGAATTCAATTATGTTACGTGTCAGAAAGATCAATTTTTTACATGAAACTTTGGAAAAATAGTTTCTATGATACAAAAATTACAGTATTAATAGATGTATATACAATTCTAATGAACTAAGTTACCAAACTTAATTAATAAACAGGTTCTTTATATTTATAGCAGGGAAATAATTTTAAAGCAAAAAAAAAATTTTATAAAAAATAATTTTATTTATACAACTTAAAACAAGTTTGTTTTCTTAGGAGGTTTGTATTGAGTCAGCATAATTACGTAATGAGTAAGCATAAATACGCAAAAAATAGTATTAAGACTTTGTACGGATTAACTAGGATGAGGATCAGCTGATAATCAGGATTAAGATATTAGGATTACAATAGGATAATGATTGAGAATGGGATTAAATAATTGGTAAGGATTAAATATATGGATTGTATTAGGATTAGAAATCCAGAATAATGTGTAAGGATTAAGTATACGGATCATGTACTAGGTATAAGGATTAATATATGGATTAGAAATTCAGAATCAGGAGTCAGACTTAAAAATTAGAATCAAGGATCAATCTGGATACTTCATAATAATTATGGATCAAAATTGTCAATAGGATCATTTGTTAGGTAACATATTTAGATAACTTAAAAAATGAATTTATATGATTCTTATAAAAACAAAATGAAGTTCGTGGAAAAGTCGAAACCTGTTTAAGAATAGGCAACATGATTCATGATTGGAGTAATCTTTACGATTAAGGATTAGGAATAGAGGATTAAAAAAGTTAAGGGTAGGATTGAGGATTAAGTATTAGGAGTCGAGGATTACAGTTGAAAGTGTGACTATCAATGAGGACTAATCGAGGATTAAAAAGTTAACGATAGGATTATATATGAGGATTAAGTAATAAGAATGAATCGAGGATTAAAAGAGTTATAAGAAGAATTATCAATGAGGATTAAGGATTAAGTATCAGGGTATAAAGTAGGAGGAAATAAATCGGGTGGCAACCATACATTTCCTTGTACAAATTACTTATACTTTCTCACACAGACAGAAAGTTTGGGGGGGGGATATTGAAGGAATGTCTAAGAAACTTTCGACGTTATTTTTAATAACTCTCAATTCAAGGAGTTATTTTAATCCACAACAGTACCTTTAAACCTATTATCTGAGTCACATTTTTTTGTTATCTTTTTTAGGATAAAAAGTAAAAGTTTTCATTAAATAAAAGAAGATATCTTTAACATTTTTGTCAAAACATGGTTTGAAGAGTAGTGTTGTGAATGTGATTGCGGCATGAGGGACTTGAAAATACATTTTAAAAAAATGAGAAGAAAAAGATCAGAAAAAGTTCAATTAAATAAAAATGTGAATGCGAATAGAAATGTGGAAGTTTGACACCAGAATTCATTATTAATCTTATAATGAGTCACAGAATTAATGTGTCCTGGCGTCAAAACAAACTTGGGGGACGGGGGGTGGGTACAAGTAAAAAGGATATTAAAAGGGGAAATTTATAAGGAAAAAGGTATTTTTCTTGTTTATGCTATACACTCCGACATCAAAAAACACAATCATATTAAATAGAAAAAATCACACACCAAACAATACTTAATTGGTATATTATCACTACCCACTAATTACTCTTTACAAAACTCAAGTATTTAATAATATAATATGTAATAACCATACCCCGGGCCAAATGTTGTTGTTCCTGCGAATGTAGTACACCCATTTTAATATTCAATGTCGTAAAACCATTTATCACAAACTCTTGACGGATTTGAACGAAAAATCGTCGAAGAAGTCTCTACTGGTCGAATTCACAGACAAGTGTCACTGCTGGTATTTATAATATCAAGAATATTGTGAGCCCAGGCCCAACTATTGACATGATATCTATAATGATCACTTTGTAAAGTAACTTGGCTAAATTATCCGTCAAAACTCGAACACTGCAAACTTGGAAACTCTGCAAATATCTAGTTTTGATTGGCTTAATAAAATTCTGGTCAGGTATGTGCAAAATAAAGAAGCTTTTTGCACATCAAATATCAATTATTAATATAATTCAGTTTCTACACTAAGAAAGAAAAGTAAGATTAGTTAAGAAAGAAAAGTAAAAAAGTCCTTTACGTTGAAAAGTACAAATTGTGAACATTTAAAAAAGTTAATTCAAGAAAAAAATCAAATTAAAGAAGGTTTCACTTCATGTTAATTTTCAAGTTTACATGTGTAAGTAGTTAAAGTTCCAACCCCCCATCAAAAAATTTACAGTTAAAAGTTTCAACCCCCGGCACGCAAACTCAGTTTAGTAAAGGCCCAGTTTTGTAAACGTGTTTACTGTTAAAGTTGCGTCGCCCGGACCGCGAACCTAAACCCAGTTTCGTAAAGGTGTTAAATGTAAAAAGTTGCAGGCCCCGGTGCCGCAAACCTATTAAACTTGTATTCAAGTGCACGGATGATCACTTACTGTGGAGTCAATAAATTGCTAGATCTATACAGTGTCACACAAACACACAAACAAACACACACATTAACAAACTTATGAAAATAATAGTAATACTGTTAACTACCCCCCTATCTCTTGTTTATGGAGAAGATAAAAGTTTCGTGTAATAAAATTGATCTTTCAAACACAAAAAATCAAGGTAAAAAAATTCAAAATTATAAAATTTTAAAATTAAAAAATTAAAAATTTAACAGCAGATTTAGGTCTAAAAACTCACCTGAAAAAATATAAATTTCATTAAGATTAATCAAAATAAACGTTTTAAAATGGTTATCTATATACGTTGATACATAAAAAATATGTACTATATGTGGCCTAAAAATCCAATATATGCGTATATTTTATACATATACAATATATATATATATANAGTTTATGTGAGTAAAAAAAGAGAAAGAAAACACATTTCAAGAAGGATAATATGTGAATATCATAAAAATTAAATTGTAATAAAATTATATTAAAAAAATGAATATATGTGTATAATAAACAAAGTGATAAAAATGAGTAACCTAGACTTATCACAACTCCCACATTTAATATAAAGTCAATATATCAATTTAGACGAGTTCTTCTAGATGACAAGGCTATCAACTTTTAAAAGACGAAGTTTTAACTACAATGATAATCAGAAAACAATGGATTAGGATGACGACTTTAAAGCAATACTTAAGTGTATTTGATGTTGTTACAAAGCAAATAGATTTACTAGACAATTATTAAATCACAAATAATGTGAAATAAGTCTGTTTACACTGAACAGTTACTTTATCCCATGCAAATTGGACTATTTAAAGTCAAAAATTAAGGGCAAAAATCGTCTTCCTATTCTGGAGTTTTCTGGTTAAAAGACAAAATCTGCAAAGACAAACTATAAATGACAAACACTAAAAACAACTCTTACAAGACAAACTCTAAATGACAAACTCTAAATGACAAATCAAATTTAGAAAGACTAACTCTTGAAAGAAATGAAAATTAAGGGGTTAGGTCAGAGGCAAACAATGATTTAATGACATGATTTTGTCTAGGAGAGATAACAAATGTTCATTTAACAAATAGGGACCTCTTCTAGGTCGGCCTCCCTGTATATTTACTCCCAAACTTTAGTAAAAAAGAAACCCTGGTATTTTCCAGGAATTGTAATGAATGAAATAAAAAACATGTTGCCATGTATATATAAATTCAAATATCTATTGCAGAAAATGTGTTTCCGCATTAAAAACTTGAGCAAATTTGCACTTTTTCCTAATATCTATCCTGAATTTTCAACTGAGAATTTTACATTCGTTGCATAATCCCTCTTCCCCCCCGTTTCTCGGCCTTTTCCATGCTCCCCCCAACCCCCCTCCCCCGGACTCAGGTCTTAAAACGTTAAAACTCTAATTACATGATGTAATTTTCTATTTTAAACAGAATATTATCTGAATCTTATTGTTTTGTATATATACTAGGCTTTTAGGGCGCATTTTCTATTTCAATTGTGAACATGTTCTCTTCGTGTAAATTGAAAGAAAAAAGCGGATTTTATTAATAAAATTCGGGGTTTTCAAAATTTTCAAAAATTTTACAAAAATATTTTTTTTGTAATTTTGATCATTCATAAACCTCTCCTAGGATCACGAGAAATGCCACACAAAATATGGGCCTGATCGGCTCAGCCGTTTTGACGTTTATTGGATACAAACCCAGACAGACAAGCTAAATTAATATATAGATGCTGTTAAATCTTAACTATAAAAATTCTATTTAATCCCGAGATGGGTTTTTAAACTGAACACTGGACAAACGTTCCTCAATAAAGTTCTTTGTTCATGAAGGAAAAATTTCAAAACATATGCTTGTATAGTTCGATCACGTATCTTAAATATGTAGGTGGTACATTGTACACACTATATATATTGCTATATCTGAACATTTTTACAAATATTATTATCAAATAGAGATGTTTCTATTCATTTTTTTTTAAATCAATATTTTCCTAACAATTTAACTAAGATGATGGGTGAAATTTATTTTTAAAAGGGGTTCCGGGACCGGGGTTGCTCATTGTTTCTTGAGATTTTTTTCTTTTTAGTCCATTGTCCACTAATCTCAAATCCAAAGTATCAAACCTTTACAGAAAGCTTTTCATTGTGCAATTTTTCATTTCTTTCCTAGATCTTTCTTCTGTAACAGTTAAAACACCCCCGAATCTTTCTATTGTTATTTAGATCATTGGTTCTTAAACAATTCTTTGATCAATCCGAATTCAAAAACACGATTTTTAAATCCAACTCTAGAAATTGTTCACGTTGAAAATCTAAAACTCCGCTTTCACAGAAGGTAGGGTTATATACCTTCATACAATAAAGCTGAGTAAAAAAAGGCAGATAGGCACTTATTAGGTTCTTATTCTAATCCCTATACAACTTTTATTTCATGGTGTAACCCCTTCTATTTCTCAATTTCTCAAGCTTGTTGAGTACAGTTTATAGCTTTAAATAGCAAATATTTACAAATATTTACATCAAATTGCAGAGAAATTATAATTAGAAAATTAGAGTTGAGTTTTTTAGTTCCTCTACCTCATTTTCAGATAACTTTTTCCTGGTACGCTAATCACAAGTTGATGAGACATTTTAATCTAAGGTTTCCCTCTCTGCAAAGATGGCAATGTCCGATTTACAACCGTACCCGTTAAACCGTAATTTGATAGTGTAGAAGAAAAGTGATCATTTCAGAAATAATAATCCTCTGAATATCTTCATTGTTTCTTCTAAGCAAGAAATGCGAAATCACTTTCTCAGACAAAGCCAAAGGGTGTCGTTTAAAAACGGACAATTCTATCGTTGCATGTAGGGTTACTTGAAATTACGCATATACAGTCCCTTTAAATACTTCCTGGTTCTCACCATAGACAGTTAAACTTCCTTGGGACAATTTCCTTAGTTTTTCAACCACTGCTGTTTTCTGCTCCTGGAGAGAACTATTCATTAAACCCATCCTTGATCCTGATCCAGGTATTCACCCTACTGCTCTTATTAATCCCTGATCCTGGTATTGATCCTAGTACTCCTTTCTCTCGTAAAAACGATCTTATTCTTTCTCAAGGTATTGATCTTTGTGTTATTCTTAACATTGATCCTGATCTTTCATCTATGTCTTCATTTTAGTCCTATAGTACTGCTTTATATTGATCTTGATAGGTTATGTTCAGTTTCTTTTAGTTGATTTTTATTACAGCAAGTTTTTTTCTTTCATTCTTTCACGGGTTTTGATCTTGATCCTGTTTTACTTCTTGATCCTTGATTCTAATAATCCTGACAACAGCTTTCCCAACAAATATTGATCTCTCTCCTGCTTTTTATTTTAGCTTTCAGCTTCAAATTTTATTCAATCCAACAGCTTCACCTCCTACTTCCTTTGATCAACCAATCCACTTCCCGTCACTTCCTGTTTTCGATCCTTATCCTCCTGCTTCTTGCGATCTATTCCGTTCCTATTTCCTGTTTTAAAACACTTGATCACTAATTATACCAAAATGCAGCTTGAACACCTTGCAAACATATTGAGTATTAACATTTTTACCAACTTTACAGGGCACAAGATTTATCTAGACTGATCTCAAGCCCTGAGACGGAATCATTTTTCATCGCCTTTCCACCTGGACCTAAAGACTACATATTTACGAGGCCTGGAAATTAACCTTTAAACTTGAAAACTTTCCTTTGCATTGCTTTAACAGTTTACAGTTGCAACAAAGCGTAAGGGAAGCAGGGATGACGAGAGAGTACGCGGGCCCAGCAACTGCTGACCGACATGGCGGGATAAAGCGGTGCAGGGGAATTTAGAATTGATTGACCGACATGGGGGGGGTAAAGCGGTACAGGGGAATTTAGAATTGATTGACCGACATGGGGTAAAGGTAGTGGTACAGGGGGATTTAGGATACATTAACCTACTTGGGGTAAAGGTAGTGGTACAGGGGGATTTAGGATATATTGACCGACATGAGGTAAAGGTAGTGGTACAGGGGGATTTAGGATACATTGACCGACATGGGGTAAAGGTAGTGGTACAGTGGGATTTAGGATATATTGACCGACATGAGGTAAAGGTAGTGGTACAGGAGGATTTAGGATACATTGACCGACAGGGGGTAAAGGTAGTGGTACAGGAGGATTTAGGATACATTGACCGACAGGGGGTAAAGGTAGTGGTACAGAGGGATTTAGGATATATTGACCTATAAAGGCTATCAAGGGAATTTAACTATAACTTCAGGTAATAAAATAGAACTATCCACATTTAAGACAAGAAAATATAATTTCAAAACATTAATAGAAACAATATTTGTCCAATGTCAATTGCTGACATGGAAAAAGTGCCATTTGATGAAAAAGATGCCCTCCCCTATCCTTTTAAATTAGGTCGTTAAATATCGTTAAATTTAATCCTCATTGATATTAACGTCAGATTTCAGGGTCAGTTTGATTTTTTCTTCACGCCAGACTTAATAAATACAAGATGAAAGTGTCATATTTTATTTTTTCCCTAGTTTAAATTCTTGATAAAAAAATGATCAACTAGGAAACTAAGCTCATAAAATGATAAGATAAGAACTCGAGCATTAAATCTTAAGAAACTTTATACATTGATGTGAAAATGAAAATAAATATTAGCATTTTTGATAAATATGACTTTGGTTTTAACGTTAACAGTTTAAGCTGATTCACATCATAGAAACGAAATTTCTTAAAAACATAAATGACAATTTCCAAACATCATGACACACAGTTTTTTAAGAATATAAATTGCTTATAAATATACAACACAATTCAGGAAAATAAAAACTCGTAAATACATAAAAAGAAATTAATTTTTAGAAGAATGAAATCTTAAATTAGCAAACTAAAATAACACAAATTTTTCGTGTACTTTGTATAGTGCTACATATTTGATAATTTAGAATTCTTAGGTTTGATTAACATTGGGCGTTTAAAGATGAGAAAATCTTTCATTTTCTTGAATTTCAATAAATTAATTTGGTCACAGGTAAAATAGTTTCGTTTGAGCATATTTTAACATTTCAAGTTAGGTTCACCTTAGTTCTTTCTCTCAATGCAGGATCACGTCTCAGATTAAATTTAATCAAAGCAAACAAAGTGAACAGAAAAATGTTCAAAGAAGGTTAAAAATAACTTTTTTGTTTTCCTTGGTTCCTTCACAAATTTGCCTCTAACAAAATAATTGTTTTTATATTAAACGGTTCTCAGAATTTTCTTTGTTTTTCAACTTTCTTGGACATTAATTAAGATGTAAAAGCAGCTTATGCAAGCGTATCATTATTGGAATGTGGATTCATGCAAATTATGACTGAAAATAATTGAAATAATGAGTTAATCTAATTGTTAAGATTAAATCTGCTAAATGGATGTAGATTAGAGTTCTGATATATCTAATTTAAACTCAAATAACTAATGATTATAGATAGATTAAGAATACAGAACATCATCAAAATAAGTATGCGTACACATTATATAATTCATTTTTAACTACTAGTTGTTTACTCAAAAAGCTGAGATCGTTTAAAATTTTCTAGAAAAAATGTAAATATTGCAGTACGTGGAGATATTTCTTTGACTTTGTCGTGATTGGTGTAATTCTTTTAATCATGTAATGTTTTCTCATTTTTTATAGAAAGTTATTAAAATTATTACAACGCTTTTGTGCAGGGGCATTTCTTCAAAATTTTAGGAAGAAATTAAAAAAAAATTACTTAAAAGCGATAAATAAGCTCGTTAACTGGAGCCCCGATTCTAGTACTAAATAATGTTTTTAGTTCACCCCTGGTTTAGTTTATATCATATATGTATCAATTTTCCCTTAGCTTGCATTCACTATGCTTGCCTTAATATAAGCTGGGCTTAATATGGGGGAAAATCAAGATAGAGAGGGGGGATGCGAAGAAAAAGGGGCGGGGGAGTATTTTAGGAATATGGAATTAAAATATTTTAGAGTTTAATCAGATAGCAGGGTTAGTAAAATGCTGATTAATTTCATAAATAAATTTTTTAGAAAATTTCAGAATGAACAAAGTGTACACAGTGTGTTTTTACTGCAAATAAACAAACATCAGCTGACACTTTAGGGTTAGGGTGGGGGATGACGTAATTAGTTTGTATTCATCGGTTGTATATGAATAAAGAATGTGCGGTAGATATGTGAAGACTGAGACGTATCTAGTCATTGTTTGACTAAAGACACAGACAGGGATTTTTATACAATATACATAGACAGAGATTTATATACAATATACATAGACTGGGTTTTATATACAATATACATAGACAGGGATTTATATACAATATACACAGGGATTGATATACAATATACATAGACAGGGATTTATATACAGTATAAATAGACAGGGTTCTATATACAATATAGATAGACAGAGAGATATATACAATAAACATAGACAGGGATTTATATACAATATACAAAGACAGGGATTTATATACAATATACATAGACAGGGATTTATATACAATATACATAGACAGGGATTTATAAAAAATATACATTGCAGGGAATTAAACTCCTGTAAAAATGACTGTGAGCGTAATTTTGTTTTAAGTAACCTTCTTTTAAGAGTTACAAGACCGATTCACAATGGTACCCTATTAACCTTTATCTGAGTAAAATAAAGAAATTATTTTCGTTTTCTGTCGATTCATTTCATGTTTTTGCTGCACATTCCAGAAGGTCAATATTATACCAATGAAGTATTATCAATTTTCAGAGAGAAAAACAAGAATATCTTCCTCGTGTTTACCCAGACAAAGGTTAAGAAAAACTAACAAATGTTTGCTTATATCCCTGATATTGTCCTATAATCTGGGAAATAAATAATTGCAATTAAAATTCTTAATTTTTGTTCTATTTTTGTAATTCTGATATGTTCTTACATTATTCTAAATAAAATTTTTGCAAAAATCTCTTTAAAAAAATTTAAAAATTCTTTTTATTTGGTGGGGAGGGGGATTTATGATAAAATTAACATCCCTGTATACATATTCATCCCTGATAAGATAAAAACTAACAAAGATGAAGTAACAAGTGGATTCTAATATAGACGTCAAGACTAGATATATATCATCCAACACATCAAGGAATGGACGGAAAGATTATATAGATTAATAGATTAATGAATAATTACTATGAATGGATAAATGGATAAACGAATGTAAAATTTCTATCAAAGAATTGATTTTTAGATGAATTGATGGCTTTAACAGAATTGATGAATAGATGAATTGATGGCTTTAACAGAATTGATAAATAGATGAATTGGTGGCTTTAACAGAATTGATGAATATATGAATTGATGGTTTAACAGAATTGATGAATAGATGAATTGACTATAGTTGAATAGATGAATTGATGGCTTTAACAGAATTGCTGAATAGATGAATTGGTGGCTTTAACAGAATTGATGAATAGATGAATTGGTGGCTTTAACAGAATTGATGAATAGATGAATTGGTGGCTTTAACAGAATTGATGAATAGATGAATTGATGACTTTAGTTCAATAAATGAATTGATGGTTTTACAGAATTGATGAATAGATGAATTGATGGCTTTAACAGAATTGATGAATAGATGAATTAATGGCTTTAACAGAATAGATGAATAGATGAATTGATGATTATAGGTGAAAAGATGAATTGATGGCTAAAGACGAATAGATGAATAGATGTATGGATGGATTGATGGCTAAAGATGAATAGAAGAATAGATGTATAGATGGATTGATGGCTAAAGATGAATAGATGAATAGATATATAGATGGATTGATGGCTAATGATGAATAGAAGAATAGATGTATAGATAGATTGATGGCTAAAGATGAATAGATGAATAGATGTATAGATGGATTGATGGCTAATGATGAATAGAAGAATAGATGTATAGATAGATTGATGGCTATAGATGAATAGATGAATAAACGAATTGATGAATAGATGAATTGTTGGATAATGATGAATAGAGGAATAGATGAATAGACGTAAAGATGGATTGATGACTAAAGATAAATAGACGAATAGATGAATAGATGAATAGTATGGATGTGCTGCAAATGAACATGGTGGAGCAGATGTCAGATTAACTCCGAACATGAACGAGTTTATGTTTTCCAAGATAATGGATAAATGGGCTGTGAAGGCTGATAGTTTGATGTTTTATCAAATCAAATTACGAAACTGGAATTTTTTCTTCATAAAACTTGTATGAAGCGACATTAACTGGATGTCATATTTAGTTTTGAGGTTCTTCACTGGAGATGTTTTTATCAATTCATATTTGATCAAAACAAAACTAAACTAAACAAAAGCAGTTCATACAATTTGTTTTTGAACATTAACTAAATAGATACCAAACTAACCTTTGTTAATAAAAAATGAAATTGACCATACCTTTAGGTGCCGGTGGCTTAACAGAATCAAAAACAAGCTGTAAAAGACTTTGAAAAGAAGTTCGTCCCTCGGGATTAGATTTCTTCATTGTCCAAAAGTTTACACAGACAGTTGCACAAGCTCTTACGCCAGATTTATTTTC